GATCGGCGCAGCCACCGCGAGCGGGGTGCGGCGGTGGTGGCAATGCCACTGAAAGCATAGGAGGAGCAGAGCAGCGGTCACTGCTTGGTCATGCACAGTCATGTAGACTTAAGACGGGTTTCTCTCCACACCTTTGCTTATATATATATATATTTTTTAAGAAATAAAAGGTAGATGCTGCTTGGAAGCTTTACATGGCATACATCTAATAAATAAATTAACACGCACCCCTTCCTGTAACTTGAGCTGCTAGTTTGGGCCGGGTAGGGGAGAAAATATCCCAAGGATCACTTTGCTTGTTGCACCTGACTCCAGGCCTCTCTCTTGCTGCTGCTGTACAGTTTCGCCAGGTCTAGTCTATTGGAAATCGAAATGGTTTTACGAGTCCCGTCAGCGGGGGCCCAGCCGGTGAGCAGCCGCTTCCCGACCGGGGCGAGTTGAGAGCTTCATGCAAGAGGGAGCAATTCGGCCGAAGTCGACAGCACGATGCCCGCTGAATGTGCCCCTGTGAGTGCCTTTGAAAAATTAAAAGGCTGGGATTTTCAAAGGAGTCTAATCCCGGTGGGGTTTGAGCATCTGAATTCCTTAGTCTCCTTGGCAAACCCTGGCCCACATTACTGTATTAAAGAACGAGGGTTAGGGTGTTGACACGTCCCATTAAAACTGCGAGGGTCTTTCTCCACAGGAACATCATGTCCAATTTGACTTTTTTTTAATTTAAAAAAAACCCCAAAACTTCACTGCAAAATGCAGTGCTGGGTTTTTTTCTTACTGGTTTTGAGAACTCGTGTCCAGAAACCCTATTGTATGGATTTTCCTTTGGCCCTCCCATTGCACCAGCTGTTGAGATGCACTATGCTTGATTGCAGATTGTGTTCTAACGTTTATTTTGTTGTTGGTTTTTGGTTTTTTTTGTATACAGTTGTTGCCTTTATTTGTAAACTCCTGTTATATATATTATATAAATATATTAAAAGGTAAAACGTTTCAGATGTCTATTATTTGTATAACTACTTGAGCATAAAGAAGTGAGAAATATGAATGTATTCTTGTTTCTGGGTTGTCTTTTTTTTTTGAAGAGAAGAATTTTTTTGTTTTTCTCTAGGGAGAGGTACAGTGTTTATATTTTGGAGCCTTCTTCGAGGTGGGATATTGTACATATTTTTATCTTGAGTAAATGTTAAGTAGTTGTTTAAAAATACTTAATAAAATAATTCTTTTCCTGTGGAAGATAAGGGTTTGCCTCCTGTGCTCTTACATATTTGAGCAGGGTCATTTTGTATGGTGCGATGCCGCAGCCGATGGCGAGCAGAGCAGCGTGCAGGGCGGAGCGGGGCTCTCCTCGCTCCCCCGGCAGCTTCTGTGCCACCAGTGCCCGAAGGCAGCTCAGGGTCCCATTACCCATGTCCCCGGGTTATTTATTTAACTCCCTTGGCACCTTCGGGGATTTTGCTCCTTCCCAGTCCAAGTAAGGTGCCAGGAGAGCCCGGCTGGCTTTTCTGCTTGCTTCTTATTTCGCTTCGTGCTCTCTGGGCCTGGCTTTTTGGCTCATCTGCCCCAAGCGCAGCAGGGAGGAGGAGGAGGCAGCCCCTCGCCGCGGAAGATGCATCTTCTCCGCAGGCTTTGCCCACTATCTGGAGGCAAAATGGGCTTTTTACAAACGAGGGGCTTCGCTTTGCCAGCGTCCCTCAGCCCTGCATCACAGCCTCGCAAAGGCACTGCCTCCCCTCGAGGGCCGAGGGGCGTGCGAGGCCTGGGGTGGCTCCTCGCACAACGTCTGTCCCGGCTGGCCGGGGGCCAGGGACGCCCTTCTCAGCCCACGCCGCCTCTGCCGGGGAAAGCCCCGGCTGCCTCCATGGTGGGCCCGTTCGGCTGGGAGGGACGGCCACCGTGCTGCCGCTGAGCGCCCGGGCAGGGCCGGATCCTGCCTCTGCCAGGAACGAACCCGTGCTACCCCCCCTGCGTGCCCCATCACGCTGCCGCGCTTCTCCCATGCGCTCCTGTGACTGTTTTGCAGGTTTGGGACTTTCAGCCGGCACCGCAGGCGGGGGGGGGGGGGCCGGGGGGGGC